TACAAGATATACATACAATTAAAAAGATAAAAAAATATTAAAAAATAAAAGAATAAAAACAAAAAATAGACAATGCAGAAAAGAAGAAAAAATAGAAAAGAAAAAAAGAGTATAGTAAAGAAAAAGAAAATATATAAAGAAGTGACTTCCCCCTTCATCACAAGTATAAACAATTTTGGTAACTTATCACCTTCTCTTAAAATACAGCAAATGATCTCTTCTTCCTGTATCTCATCTCTTATCTATAATCCTTAAAGCCTCGTCGTTCAGTCCTGATCAGCAAAAGTCCATTAAGGGTTATCAGAGATAGCAACATACCTATTTTAATCTTGATCAAATAAACCTTATTTGAAATATATAAGAAACTTATATTTTTTTCTTTTACTTTTAACAATCTTGATCTTTAGTCCCTTCAAATAATGTTCTAAAATGTATTGTTGAAGGCTTTCATGGCCAGAATACAATGGCTGATGTGGGTCTTCAGGACGCGTGAACAATTCACACAATGAACATGCTAATCACCCTCAGCATATTTTTTTCTTTTACTTTTAACAATCTTGATCTTTAGTCCCTTCAAATAATGTTCTAAAATGTATTGTTGAAGGCTTTCATGGCCAGAATACAATGGCTGATGTGGGTCTTCAGGACGCGTGAACAATTCACACAATGAACATGCTAATCACCCTCAGCAGCCACTTGTTAACAACTCAACACAAAAAACCCTGCCTAACCCCCAGGAAGATACACACATATGCTGATCACCAAAACAAGCAGCCACCCATTAACCCACAACCCCCCCCCCCATAGGCACCCTCGCTGATCTCTATAAATACCCACAAAAGGGTCACATCATCCTGGGCATAGAGAGAACCGCTCCTGTCTCTGCTTCTGTCCTCTGAAGATGCCGGTCTTAGATGCTAGCGAAATGTTAGGAACCAAAACTTCCAGAACACGGCCACACAGCCCGGAAGACCCACATTAGCCAATGTTTTAAAACATTTTTCCTTTTTCTTTGTCCCTTCTCACAAAATTCTTCCAAACTTTGAACAAATTTCTTTTGTAAATCCAATATAGGGAAGTTATCCATGTCACTCTTTTGGTTTGTTATTTGTATATCCCTTTTAATTGTTAAGACATCAGCCAGTTTTGTTTGTATATCCAGTGTAGCATCTTTTTCCATATCATTCTTGTAGTCTGTCATTTTTAAATCCACATCTTTTTCCATATCATTCTTGTAGTCTGTCATTTTTAAATCCACATCTTTTTCCATATCATTCTTGTAGTCTGTCATTTTTAAATCCACTTTCAAATCAGTCTCCATCTTGATAAAACTTGTTCCTCTTCCATAGCATCTTTTAAACACAGTCTATCTATAATGGCAGACACTTTTAAAGTTAACTTCTGGGTCTATTGTCCACAGATATCCTTCACTATGTCCAATGTTAAAGTATTTTGCTCTGTTCTGTATTAGTAAGTCAAATGTGTTCTTCTCCTTTAATGGTAATCTTTAGTTCCTTCTGGTTCCCTCTAATGTCTAACCTTCAAAGGGTAGTCCCAGTTTAAGAACAAGTTCTGTTCCCAAAGTCTGTCCTTAAGTCGAATTTGTATGTAAGCCAAATCAGTGTTATTATATAATACTGTTTAAATAGTATTGTGTAATTAACTCAAACCATTGTGTATTTAACTTGAATCATTGTGTATTTAACTCAAATTTTGCTAGAATAGGCTCCGTTCTTAACTATGGGCCATCTGTAATCCCGGCCGTCTTAACCCAGGGACTACAGATAGTCCTCACCCAACGACCACAATTGGGACTGGAACTTCCGTCGCTAAGTAATGCAGTTGTTAGGCAAAACATCACATGATCACATTACTTAGCAACTGCAATCCTGGTTGCCATTGTTAACTGAATGCCCTGGTTGTTAGGTGAGGCAACTTCCTGCCAGCTTCCACAATCAAGTCAATGGGGAAGCCAGCAGGAAATTGCAAGCCTCAGGTGTTGCTGGGTGGGGGAGGGAGTGTGGGAGGGTCAGGGAGGGTCTGTGGGGCTGCAATGCAGGTCGGGTGCGCAAGGGCCTTAGAATCACTTGGATTTTCAACCCCAGTGGAGAGGCTTCTGAAGCCTTTCCACTCTGGGGCTGAAAATCCTCCGTGGCTAAAAATCCTGCTTGGATTTCAGCACGAAGCATTTTCAGGCAGCCCCTAAACCTCCATACATAAATGCCCCATGCAGGGGCATTTAGAGCAGAGAGCTTTGGGAGCTGGCTGAAAAAGGGGGCTAGCTGAAAAAAACTGAAAACTCTGGGGCTGAAAATCTTCCATGGCTGAAAATCCTGTTTCAGCACTGAGCATTTATGCACGGAGCTTTGGGGGCTGGCTGAAAATGACCCGTGCCAAAATCCTGCTTGGATTTTGGTATGGACATCTATCAGCCAGCCCCCAGAGATGAGAGAGTCCTCTCGGCAGGTGGCAGCGGCTTGCAACCTCCCCTCCCAGCTTCCCATTGACTTTCTGGGGAAGCCAGCAGGAAAGATTGCAAATGGTGATCACATGATTGCAGGGGCTTGGCAACCGGTCGTAAGGGCAAACCAATTGCCAAGGGCCCAGATAACCATAAATCCGGGTACCAGCCATAAGTCCCTTGGTTCAGCACCATCGTAACTTCGAACAGTTGCTGAACTAATGGTCATTAAGTGAGGACTACCTGTGCCTGTATTTAAAACTTCTTTAGCTAAGGATCGAAGGAAACTCACCCAGTGCTATAAAACATGTCATTCCAAAGGTTCCTAATAGTTGAAAAGCAGTTAAGAAACAATTTCTGAAAGTGATTAAGAAATGAGGCTCAGCGAACCTTATGTCCACATAGGCTGCATTATGGCTGTGAGCTTGATTGAAATCCCGTGACTCCCAGCTGCTCGACTCATGAGCTGACCACAAAAATCTCAGTACCTTCAGTCTACTCAGGAGGAGCAGCTGTCCAGAATACAAGTGGGCAATCTCATGATCTCTCCTTCGTCTGGAGAGACCACTGGTCAGAATTCGCCATCTGGTCGCTGATCTCCTGCAGTGCCATCCCCACTCCTTCAGGCACGTCTAGTTCGCCATGAATCCTCACAGAAGTCCTGACTGTGGTAAATATTGAGTTGAATGTCATGTCAAATTTTACAAAGTGTACTTTTTAAGACCCAGCTTTTAATAAGTTAATTTCATAAGAGTGTACAAGTCAAGTCCTGTCAGAGGAAAAGCTAGGATTAAGCTTATTTAGTTACAGGAAAATTAACTGAATATGCTATTGCAGTTTCTTTTATAAAGTTTTCAGGTTCTTCAGCTAATGAAGAACCGTCTAATGTCCGCAATGAAGTGCAATGCTCTATTCAGAATTATACAGGAAGCTACATCAGCTCAGCTGTATCTAGTATTCTTACTCTGAATTATGTAAATTCTTTTGCACCCCGGAGAAAAGCTGTACCATCTGTAACAAGACAATTTAGTGTACAACTCACACATGTGCTCCCCATCAAAAAAAGAAAAAAAAATTTAAAGAGAAAAGACATACAAACTGGGAAAAAAAGAAAGAACAAAAACATAATTACATACAGATAATATTTCAGCCTACAAGCGTGCCATTAAACCTCGACTGCACAGAATAATATAATCAGCCTTTCCACTACATTGATAGCCTATTTCTAAATGGAAGGCAAATTCATATTTGCAATCCCGGATTTTAAATCTGGGGTCCCACCATCTTTCCAATATGGAAGAGTAACCTTTTGGTTGGCTGCCCCTCCCATGCTCATTAAATCCATTATTCTTTATGTAGTGATAAATTCAAAGTTTTTCATATACAATTCAGAATTGCATTCACAACTTTAAAACACTGTGATCTTTGTAATACCTTATTAATACACTTATTAAACCAAAACAAGGCAATAGTGGACATGCCCCTTATATAAATAAGCCTCCCCTCAGGCCAATTTTTAAAAACCATTCTCTTAGTTGTCCACTAAACGTGAAAATAATGTTTTGTAAAATTAATCTGATCCTAAGATGAGAAATATACTTACATTCTTTGACCCTTAGCTATTACTTTGTTAATATGTGATATTCCAGTTCTTCATTACAGGTTTTTTTTAATATCTACTATCCACCTTTACTGTAATTTTTTATCTGTTACTTAAAAAAAATTGCAGATTTAGAATTATTTGACAATACTGACAGTAATTTGAGAATTTAGATGTTGCTAATCTTTCATATCACACTGTCAAGATTGAAAGATGTTTTAACTGACTATACAATAAAACCTCAATTCAATGGACTATTCAGGAGGTGGGAATATCTATTATTCCTAAATGCCTGTTAAATCACAATTTGTAATTTGCATCAATTTACGTCATTTTATTTAATTTGACTAATGACTTAATTACACCATTGGCATAAATACATCATTATACAAAAGATACAGTTGATGGAAACAACATTAGCTTATGTGATTCATCCAGACTACTTAATCAGCTGAAATGCAGTAAATGGTGATCTGTTAAAAGTTTTACTGTACTGCTGTTTTACAATTTTAGACAATTCAAATTTCTCTTGCAATAATTCAATGTTTTAAAAACTTAATTGGGGTTTTCAACTGCCCCTTGAATTTTTAAAAATATCTGGGAATAGTTATTCCAAGGAAATATTCATTTGTGGGTGCAGATATATCCATGTTTTAATTTCAGTTAAAAATGAACCTAAATAAATTGTCAAGAATCCCACTCACTTTATTTAGCTATGTTTCCTTATCTCCTGCCTTTACATTTGACTACTTCTTACTCCTTTTCTGCACTCTACATAGCGCTGCTTACCCTAAAATGGATATAAATGTATCCATATATGATCAGGATATAACAACAGTTTGTGTTCATTCCTAGCTGTTATCTTGAAATGTTCCCATTTTGTCTAATTAAGTAGGCCAATGATCCAATATCAACTTTAAAAACAGAAGGGGGTAAAGTGCATCCATGAGACATCTTGACAGATGATCTTATGAATAAATTAGATTTTGGTGAAAAATTATTCAGCTAGGTCACATGAATGGATGGAAAGAGATAATACATTAAAGATTATTGGACATTAAGAAACCCACATAAATGAGAATGTAGCTGGTGAGTATCTGTTTGAAAAGAGGTCTGTTTGTTTCAAATATATGGTTTAAATAAGTAATATGTACAAATTGCAAAGAATGAATAAGCATCTAAAAGCATTAATTGACTGTTTATGATGAAATGTTGAATTAGCAAAGGATACATGGGTGATGAGAAAGTCTGAATGTGGGACATACTACTTTTTGGTAGTGTCAAGAATAGATCTTGGGGAAAAATACACATGGAAGAAGGAAAGAGAATGAAAGTAGAACTGCGGGAAGAGAAAGTGAGAAACTGGCAAGAAAACAGAATTATAATATAGATTGATCTTCCAACAGAATGAATGGAAAATAGAAATAAGGGCAAAAGCATGTGGAAGCTGCTTGGAACAGAATGAAAATTATAATGGAAAACAAAAAACAATTAGAGTGCCACAGAAGTGTATGTAGAGTTATACTATTGAGAGTAAGAACCACCACTGATTTCAATTTATTTCTTTTTTTTCTCAATACATATCCAGAATGTCAGTAATATATTATTGTCAAATGCTTGGTGACCTTTTATTAAACCAGACTATACAGGCTGGATAATCTGAGAAATAGTGTCTATAATCTACATGCTAGAGTCACTGTCAATATTTGTGCATCAACACTTGCTGGACAATAACTTGTCCAAGACAGCAGGATGTTTAAGAGCTTTCAAAATCTGCTATATAAACCTCATTGAGGATGGCTGGAGAAATGTTATGCAAAAAGTTATCATTATAAACTTCCAGTAATATTGGAGCAAGAAACTTGGTATGTCTGGTATCTATTATTTCTCAGATAATTTTTACTAATTTTTTCCTTGGTTACATTTGACTCAGTATTACACAATAGAAAGTAAAAACAAGTTGGTTTGTTGAGTCAGAAGCACTATATATTTTACTCTGGCCATCCTTATGGATATTACATTGTTGCAATTGTTTCAGCCTATAAGGTGATAATTTACTAGATCCTTTACATTGATGCCAATCTCTTTACATAATTAGCAGCTGTACCTTTGAAAATATTCTACTCAATACAACTTTTTTCCCTAATGTCTTCTTTCTCCCTCAGTTGTCAAGATAGTCTCTCCAAAAAGTCTCTCCCTTTTTCTAGTTCTCCCATAATCATGCAAGCCCTTAGCCTCTTCTTTAGAAGATAAACATACTAACACTGTGATTCTTCTGATTGATCGATCGATTGACTGATCAATCTATCTTGCTAAAGTTGTGGCAAGTGTTGCTTTATTAGTTAAATCAGTTGTACCTATTACCTAACCAGTAAGTTACCATTGTTTCAACTGCTTCATAGTAAGTCTACTCTTAGAAGCTAGTCTAGATAGTGGCTAGATTGTACTACACTTAAAAAGAGCAAGATAAGCTAATATAGTTCAACTGCACAAATATACTTTAGCAGTTCAAATTAATATTTTGCACATTGGATCAAAATGCAAGAACACAAGGATTATTATAGTTATGAGAATTTTCATTTATTAAACAGAAATATTTTTGCATAAATTTTATACAAAAAGTAACTGCAAATTTTGTATAGACTTTCCACTGAAAAAAACTGAAAAATTATTTTAAAGTGTTTATTTTAAAAAATAAATTGACAGATACCACACTATACTGCATGCTGACAATCACCCCATAGCTTAGGGGACTAGGGTTAGAATTTTTTAAAGACAAAAGATGTAATTTATCAAGCACAGTGGCTGTACAACTTGCAATGACAGAGATGGCCAGCCACTGTGGATTGCTTCCAAAGATAGCATTTCAAGATGCCAGCTTCCAGAGACAATGGGAATAACATGAAGTATCAGTTTTCTTAAAAACTAACCGCAGTTATCAGCAACTGGTGATGAATGTAATCATCTAGGCTCAAGTCCAAGAGATTCCAGCCATCAAAACTAGTGGGATACCGGTGTCTCTCAAGGCAAGCCTTTAATAATTACTTCTGGGATGGTATTAAATGAGTACTTTAAAGGATTATTAAATTAAAAAGCAAATAATCTTATAGCTTGTAATTACACTGTATTAGAAATTCCTGTTGTTGGGAATCCATTTATCTGAGAGCCTATTTTGGGGTCAAGGTAATTACAAAGACAAAGCTTTATTCTCTGCATGCTTCTCTAGGCACACAACCAGTGGACCTGGTAATACAGATGTTTGGAGAATACTTGGAATTCCCCTTTCATTGGAGGACTGTCTAACTAGGGAGTGTCATCCATAACAAAATTAGTTATACAACATTATTATAAATTAGATTTGTTCCTATCTGCTCCAGTTTCCGTAGACTCCTCAATATAATTGCATCCTCTCCTGTAGAAAACAGCTACTAGTTATTGCAACAACCACCTAGTGATGATTTGAATATGTAGAGTAGGTCTTGATCTTGAAGACACTGATGTGAAGATGGGAAGCAATTTGATTGCAGACACTGACACAGTATCGGAGTAAATCAAAAAGAGAAAAAATCTGAAAGGATAATATAACTATGTATGATATTTGGGCATAAAAACTTTGACACAATTTATTCTTCAGGTTTTGAACCCATCATTTTAAGCATTAGGATAATCTTTCAATAAGATTTTCTTTATCGTGTCCAGACCAGAATAATATTTTTCTGCATTAAAACAGAAGTGGGAGCTGGGAAAGACCTAGTTCTCCAGCTACCTAACCTAGAGGACAGGGCAGGCATGTTCCTCAAAGGACCTGCTCCATGATGTCATTTCATGCAAAACAAAATAAGCCCCAACTTGGTATGAATGAACCAGTTTGGGTAGCCCTTTTGCAACTGGAATGCTTGCACAATATCTCTGCCTAATCTCACCTGCCCTGCACTTTCCTAAAAGAAGAAAGTCCTCAACATTCTTGCTCCTGTGCAACTGTGGAGAACTTGGGTTCTATGTTTTCCTCTGTTGGAGGCATGGCATTCATACGCTGGCTAGAGGACCTCCATCACCAGTACAAAGGCATCAGCCTTTTCTCAAACTTGGGCACAGGTATATGAAAGCTGGTGTAGTTTCATGAAACAAAACTATGAGCCTACGCTGAAATCCCTGATCATTCTGACTAATCTATCTTTCATGTTTTGGTTACAATATGGACAAAAGATGGAAACTGTTGCCCTGAGCACTTTGGAGAAAAGACAGGTTAACCATGCAGTAAATAAAATGTGCGATATAAAAACCCCAATAGTATCAGTGTACAAAATATCCCAGTATAGTAATTATGAACACTTTAATATCCACATTATCTTAATTTCATTAAAAAAAACAAAAACCTGCAAAGAAAGAGTACATTTTAAAAAACAATGACATGGCTAAAATGAATTATATTTTCTTAAATGCCAATCATATTCTTAAGGATATGAAGGGAGCTGCAAAATATCTCTCTTTAGAAACATTGGCTTATTTTAAAAAGTTGAAAAATATGGGTTATAGTTTCAATGCACATAAGTAAAGGAAAAGATTGATATCTGGTCTAGGATACCTTGCTGTGATTTCACAGTATCAATTTCTCAGACTGTAAGGTTGAGCAAAATATAAATTATTTTGTGTTTCTATTGTAAAAATTCTGCTTTCTCAAAATACATTCCCAGATGACATGACTGTATTAATGCAATTTAAAACATCAAGCCACTTGTTATTATCTCCTGTGGGGGGGTGTATATGTGCATGAGCATGCCTCAGCGATATGGAAAACTATGCTGGTTTGCATCTGGGTGCAATTCAAGGTGCTGGTTGTTGCCTATACAGCCCTAGATGGCATACAGCCTGGTTATTTGAGGGCCCACCTATCTCCCATAATGTCTGCCTGGCTGATTTGATCCTGCAGGGTTGACGCACTCTGCGTTCTTTTGATTAAACAATGTAATCTCTCAGGACCCCACAAGTGCTCTATAGCAGTGTCTGCCCTCTGGGATAAGGTTCCCCCTGAGATTCAGATGGCCCCCATTCTGCTGTTGTTTAGAAGAATTGCGAAGACCTGATTCTTCACCCAAGCCATCGGCAAAGGAGAGTGAGACCCCTCACTTTATCGTACGTCATCTTTTATCTTTATTTTTTATGTTTCATTGATTTTATTATAATTTCTTTTTTGATTGTTGTAAGCTGCCCAAAGTTGTTGAGAATCAGGCAGCATACAAATTTAATAAATAATATGACAATAATTATGAAGCCAGCCTTGCCATTAGAAAACTAAGGATGTATACATGTACCTTAAAAATGCACAAAGAAATAAGGAAGCACTTACCAAGGCAATCCAAAGTACAATGTATTCATCAATAAAGCTATTAAAATATTGGTCCAAGAACAAAAGTGCTGGACCTATGAATGCTGTGTCATGCAGATGCATCTCACTTTTGGTCATATGTGCAACCTACAGAGAAAAAGCAAGCATTTGTTATTTATAATAAATAGTAATTTTTATGGAGTAAGCAACTACATTTTGATAAACATTTCTCTTCAAGGATTGGATTATGGCCACTCATAGGACAATCCTTATTGAAGTGTCACCATATGCACTAATAATTCTGGTATCTGCATTGGAAGAAAAAAAATTAAACCTCTAATAGTGAAGTATTTCATAGAAAATTAGTTAAAAGCACAAGGAAATACTTACCACCAGTTTGTTAGTTATCTTAGCAGAAACAAACCCAAAAGTCAGTATATAGAGGCAAGGATGTTTTTCAAAAAGTTCTACAGCAGATTTCTTGTAGATCATGGCAGCTAATGTAATGACAGCTCCAATATGAAGAAATGGCGAAAGGACACTTGTTCCCTATGTGGGAAAGGGATTTAATATTAATTTACCGTGCTGAGCATATTACAGGAACACAGTTGTCAACAGTCCAGAGCACACTTTGGTTGAATGAATGAATGAATGAATATAATTAATTAATTAATTATAAGTAAACCTCCTTGAACTCTTTCAAAGTCAATGGGGAACTATTGAGAAATATATTACCTATTTGGTTAAGATGAAAGGGATAAATAAGCATATATTTATCTAATTTATTTAATTATGCAATTTATATGTTGCTCAATTCCAAAAAGACTCTGAGCAGAATAACACAAAAGAAAAATAGAATTAAAAGAAAAAATAAATAACCAACCCCAAAGTGATTGTTGAACAATGTGCAGCTAAGGTGTTATGATGGCTGGGTGGGGAGCTACCAATCCAAGCATGGCAGTGCAAGGCACCTCCTTTACTCCAGAGGAAGGACCGTCCTGAGGAGAATGCAATTTGGGAGGTGTGAACGGAAGGACATGTCTGAGGGAGGCTCAGAGTTTTAGCCTAGGGAAACCTCCATCTGCCCAGAGAGGCAGAATTATGAATATAATTAGAGCCAGGGAAGGCAAGTATTGGTGAATATGTTCCAATATGAAGTGAACTTGTTCATAACCCATTTTAAGTTACATACTTAAATAATAAAAAGTGATTGCATCATCCTCTATTTTCTCCATATTCCACTTACATTATCTCACATTATCTCAGAAACATAAAGAAATAAAGGAGAAAAAGAAAATTTGTAAATCAGAAAAAAAGGTTGTTAGTGACAACAAGATAAACAGATCCTTTGCAAATCTCTAAGAGTTAATAAAATTGAATTTAATTTTGAAGAGAAAGATAAATAAGAAAAAAATCCATAATAGGAATACAATTTTTAATTTACATCTTTGGACCTTCAAGGGCTACAAGCCAAATTGGACAATTATGTTCAGTCTGTGTGAGTGTGGAGTGGAGTGGAAAGTTAAAGCAGAAAAAATGGATGCTTTAAGTTGCTCATAAGTTTGAGGAGGAAAAACCCCTATGCATTGAAACTGGAGATTTTGTTGCTGAATGTCAACAGTGCCATCTGGGGATATCCTGGAGACTGAAAAGTAGATGGTGGAAGGCACTCATAAAATGTGTAGATTACCACCCGCATATGTTTAATATATAGAAGGGTGGGAAACCTATATGTTTCATGTGATTGCTAACATACAGTGGTGTTTAAAAGTTTGTGAAGCCTTTTGAATTTTCAATGTACAAACAGCTGGAAGTATTTTCATATAAATTTAATAAATAAATAAATGTTTCTGCATAAATATGACCTAAAATGTGATCTGTTCTCCACACAAGTCCTAAAATTAGATAAAGAGAACCCAATTAAACAAATGAGTCAAAAACATTACACTTGTTCATTTATTTATTGAGGAAAATGATTGAAAGCTACATATTTGTGCATGGCAAAAATATGTGAACTTTCAGTAACTGGTGTGTCCTTGGGTAGCAATAACTACAACTAAATGTTTCCAATAACTACTGATCAGTCCTGCACATCAACTCGGAGGAATTTTAGTCCATTCCTTCTCACAGAACAGCTTCAGCTCAGGGGTGTTGGTGGGCTTCCTCGCATGAACTGCCTGCTTCAGGTCCTTCTACAACATTTCTGTAAGAGTAAGGTCAGGACTTTGACTTGGCCCTTCCAAAACATTAACTTTCTTCTGCTTTAACCATTCTTTGGTTGTACGACTTGTGTATTTTGGGTTGTTGTCTTGCTGCATGACCCACTTTCTCTTGGGCTTCAGTTCATGGACAGATACCATTTACATTTTCCTGTAGAATTTGCTGGTACAATTCAGAATTGATAGATCCATAAATGATGGCAAGCCATCCTGGTCCAGAGGCAGCAAAGCAGGCCCAAACCATGATACTGCCACCACCATCTTTCACAGATGGGATAAGGTTCTTATGCTGGAATGCAGGCTTTGCCTTTTGCCAAACATAACACTTTTCATTCAAGCCAAAGAGTTCTATTTTGGTCTCATCAGTCCACAAAACATTCTTCCAATAGTCTTCTGGCTTACCCATGTGGCCTTTCATAAATTGCAGATGGGCAGCAATGTTCTTTTTCGAGAGTAGTTGCTTTCTCCTTGCAACCCTGCCATGCACACCATTGTTTAGTGTTCTCCTAATGGTGGTCTCATGAACACTGCTATTTGTCAATGCAAGAGAGGCCTTTAGTCCTCTAGATGTTACCCTGGGGTTCTTTGAGATCTCCTGGAGTATTATATGTCTTGCTCGTGGTGTGATCTTGGTCAGTAGACCACTCCTGGGGAGGGTAACAATGGTGTTGAATTGCCTCCATTTCTACTCAATCTGCCTGACAGTGGACTGGTGGAATCCAACCTCTTTGGAAATAATTTTGTCACCTTTTCCAGCCTGGTGAGCATCAACAATTGTTTTTCAGAGGTCCTCAGAAATCTCCTTTGTTCAAGCCACGACACACTCCCATATTGTTGTGAAGAACTGAATGCCCAGAATTCTGTTCTTTAAATAAGACAGGACTTCGCACACTCACATCTGATTATCTGATTGAAACACCTGACTTTAATTTCCCCTTCAAATGAACTGATAATCCTAGAGTTCACATAATTTTGCCACACACAAATATGTAGCTTTCAATCATTTTTCTCACTAAATAAATGAACAGGTATAATGTTTTTGACTCATTTGTTTAATTGGGCTATCTAGGTTTAGGACTTGTGTGGAGAACAGATCATGTTTTAGGTCATATTTATGCAGAAATACTGAACATTCAAAAGGGCTCACAGGCTTTTAAACACCACTGTATATATTAAACACTCATCCAACTTAATACAAAATCTGCCCCGAAGAAAACTGACCTTAGTTTATTTTTGGAAGATTGCCAATGGAGCTCTAATATCCTAAAAAGTGTGGAAAAACAAAAACTGCAGTTTTCTTTACTCTGACTAGAGTGTATTTTACTTTATGGAGATGTATGAATTCAATCTAGTATAAGAAGAGTCTGAAATTTATACCAGAAAATGATGCATCTTCAAAACCAGATGTAAAAAAAACCACCCAGAGTCACCCTTTGGGGGGAGATGGGTGGCATACAAATTTAATAATAAATAAATAAATAAATAAATAAATATTTAAAAATCTTTCCTTAGTCACTATATTGTACTGGAACTTTTCTTTGGATACTGCATATTCTTTCTCTTCACTAGTAACCTAGTGGAAGATCTTACTAATTAGCCTTCAAACATTCTAAAATAAGGCAATATTTTAAATCATATAGAATAAGATTGAATAATTTTCCTTCAGGCTCATCTGTCTGAGAATGCCATCTGATGAGAACTAGGAAATGGTTATTTTTTATTACTGCCCCCGTGCTTTGAAACTCTCTGACCACAGAGATCCAGTCTACCTCTTCCCTCCTGGGTCTGAAGTCCTGGCTTTTCCATCTAGCCAAGGAGGAGTTTCTTTTTACTGACGGTTTTCTGATAGCCGCTATGAGCCTTTGGAAAGAAGGGAGGGAGGGAGGGAGGGAGGATTACACAGAAGAGAAAATAGGAGAACGCTGTATATTAAAAATACAAAACAAAACAGAAAAACACTTACTGCTATGGTTGATCCATTTTTGCCAACACCACCTGTGAAGATCACACCAAAGTAGTTTGTACAAGAGAATATGGTTCCTGCTACTGTACAAACAGCTGGAAGTATTTTCATTTGAATGTTTAACACTGGAATCTTAACAAGAAAGGGAAAATATTAAAACATTTTAAATATTTCAAGTTAATTTTATTTTAGTTTTCAAAAGAACTCAAAACATTCCACTTTTCTAAATCTGTATCTAGGAACTTTCTGGAAGAAAGGGATAAAGAAAATCTCTGTACGCATTACCTTTCAGAAAATTATGTGTCCATGATGACTGAAATGATCTATATGTGACAATTTATTTCCTGAGAAAAAGCAAATAATAACTGAATAGAAGGGCCAAACATTTGGATTCCTTTTTGGCATAAATCAGAAACCAAGATTCAATTAACTTATAATAGATAGTGTCTTTGAGGTAAGAAGTGGCATAATGAAAATAATTGCTTGCATATGTTTAAGGAGGAAAGCTGGTTGAAAATTGCAGAAGAATAAAGAAAAGACCTTTGGATATACTCCAAAATTCTATGCCACAAACATAGAAATAAAGAAAAAAATAAGAATGTGTGACTGCATGGGAATGCAACAATGGATCATTTTGCAGTACTCTGGACAGAACCAAACAGATGGTATTGAGAAGTTTACAGTATTAGCAAAAGGGTGGAGTGCTAATACTCATTGTTCCCAGTATAGCATCTGATAATCAAAGCTACTACTTGTGAACAATGATGATTCATGAATAATCATTGCTTCACCTACAGTCCTTTACATTATCCAATACTGTTAATTTCACAATAATATCAAACACTGCCTTATACCACATTAAAGCAACACTGGCAGTGGCTCTGTGGAATTTCAGATCAATCTGAAGATAATTGAATGCCCTTCTGCACAATCTCTATACACTAAATAATGTCATGTGAAGAAATGTTTCCATTTCTCAGTTGTAAACATAATTTTCAAATAACTAAACTACAGACAAATGAGTTGCTGTACTTATTCTACAGTATTATTCTGAACATTAGTCTTAAGTGTGAACTGAAAACTAGTGATGAATATTTGACTACTTTTTTCCTTACATTGTCATTCTATACACGCCTACTGAGAAGTAAATACCATGGAGTTCATTAGGGTTTGTATATAGTAAGTGTGTATAGGATTATAGCCTTAATTTCCAAAAAATAGAGCAATTGTAATCATTATGCTTAAATCAGCTGCATCCTTTTGTGTCTCCCTCCCCCATCAAAGGAAAATAGGATTCTTGGGGTTCTAGATACTTTTTTCAAACTGCATAAAATGTCAATATTATATATTTCACACAAGCTCTTTATGTATTTTTTAAAAAATCTAAATATTAACATAGAGATGCCAGCCCTGTCCTTAATTTACAGTAAGCACGGTCTAAAACCAGCCTGTTTGTTTGTAACTGTGTATAGTATTGTACTGCTAGCCTATTACCCAACTTTCTAATTATGGTATAATAAATATTTGTTCCATCCATTTAATAAATTTTCTCATGAAACAGATAGCTATTTTTAAATTATATGATGGGAGCATACATAACATATGAGCAGTTCCAGCATTCATTTTCCTTAAAAACAGTGGTGAGAAGCAATATAATTACTTCTTCCCCATCATGCTATAAGCATTCATGCATTTATTCATTTGGTTTTTAGAGAGTACAGACTTTTCATTACTTGTACAGAATCACACATACAGTGATGTGAAAAAGAAAGTACACCCACTTTGAGTTCTATGGTTTTACGTATCAGGATATAAT